ATTGTTCTAAGAAAGCAATTATTTGCATGGAATAACCTAATCTCTATGAATATATTTTGCCATTTTCAAATAAATAATTTGTTTCATTGTTTGTATACATTGTAACTAAATAATATATTATTTAATTGAAAGATATTACTTCAAATAATAATGTTATTTCTGTCAAGCAATAGAGATTTCTCGAATCGAACAACAAAATTTTTATTCAAACAAATAATATTTCGTACAAACATATGTTATTTCAATAAAACAAATTTTAGTCAAATAAATAGGAATATTAAATTTAAAGAAACCTTTTTCTCTGTGTGCAACGTGTCTTAGTATTCATGGCGATTTTTGTCTCGAAATCAATTTTTGCAATTTTTGCCTTAAGGTCGAACAATTAACCGTCAGTACTACGATGATGGCGTTTTGAAAAGATAGCGCGAAAAAATTTGCAAAAAGAGACCACAGTTATGGCAAGACAACTCATGGTTCCTTTACCATGACAATACGTCTGCTCACTCAACCTTGTCAATTCACAAGTTTTGTGCCAAAAATCAGACTGTCCTCCCCCCGCCTCCCCAGATCTTGCTCCCTGCGACTTTTTCTTGTTCCCAAAATTAAAATCAGTTTCCAAAATAAAAATTCAGTTCGAGGCGAAAATCGTCACGAACATTAAAACACGTTGTACTCAAATAGTAATAACTCTGAAACTAAACGAGATGTAAACAATTTTAAAAAAGCCAGTTACTCGGAAGATTATAACGATTGTAGTGTTGCAAATCGCACGTCGCTCGAACGCTCCATTGCCGAGTAATTCAAAAAGTCCGCTTATTTTTTTATCAGACCTCGTATATATTTTTAATTATATATATATATTATATATACTTTATCATATATATAACATTATATATATAATAAAAAAAAATATATATATAATAAAATAAAAATTATAATTACGTTTATTGAATGACGGTACTGTCGCTTTTTGTTTCCAATTGTTTTATCATATATGTTTCCAATTGTGTTGCGAGTTAAATAAAATACGTATGCATATACTTAAAGTCATGGGCAAGTAGAATCGCGCTACGAGTAATCAACTATTACTTATTAATTTACTTAATCTTATTAACTACGGTCCCATTTTAACCCAGGGGATGATGTTTATCAGGTCCCCTTCACCAGATCTCCAAGAAATAGTTTTGTAAAAATGTTACATCTAGACACCCGGTTACGATCGCCAGTGAGGATTATGTGCGATCCAGCGATGGTAACATCGTTCATTGTCCACAATACGCATGTGACGAAATTTTTAATTGCAAACACGCAAATTTTATTCATTATTCCGAACATGAATAGGCGCGATCAGAGGAAATAAAATACTGTTCTTAAAATTATAATACAATGCTATCAAACGCGTTTTCCTATTTTTGACCTCTTTACCAAATTATTTAAACGATTCTTTGTGAAAAAAGCTTTAAGTACAAATAGGATTCGAATTTATTTGTTCCAAGCCATCACATATCGAAACACTTTACTCTTTGCTTTTTATTTTTTTTGTTTTTTGTTATTTATTCTCTTTTTTGCTGCATAATTGTGTAAAATACTCCAACTTTTACGTGAAAATAATAATGCCAACTTATCTTTATATATATTTAAGTTAAATTATAAAATATATAAATTAATGTTATAAAAGATAAATTAATGTTATACGTTTTTTAAATCATTTTTGTCTACAATAGTCTTTACATATGATAAACGCTTTTTGTATTGAAGCTAACTCTTAGGTCGACAGTGCTTTCCATTCAGTGACACAAATCGATACAAACCTTATTCTATCTTTTTTGACATTCAGAGAATAATGAAGATAGAACGACACTTGTGTCGATTGAAAACCATATAAATGAAAAGCGTCGATTCTATTTCCCTCAATCGCGATTCTCAAGAGATCGATTCACAAGGAGAACTCTGGTGATATTCTCGAGCATCCGCATTAATTTTTTACAGACGCCGAATAAAAATATAATTCCTATAAACAGACGCACGAGGCAAACGCGGCAGTCTCATGCTTATCATCATCGTACATTTATCGTACATTTATTCAAAAGTTCCTATAATTATGCATACAAACACACACACATACATACGTATAACACAATACACATACGCACATGTACGCGTGATTCATGAGCTTTGAAAGCACATTAAGCGCACGTAGGAGCATTATATGTATCGGAGGTCCATTCGCGGTGGAGAGTGCTACGAGATCGTATCGGCGTCACATTTGGAATCGAAGCCGATTTATCGACTAACGTATCTTCTTTTCTTCATCTTAAAAAATTCAGGAATGCCGCCAAATATCAATTAAGCGATGGCAGTTGTATGTAAAATTTTTTTGGGTAGGGGATATCTTTCTCGGATATTATGTTTCTAGATAGGATTCTTCTTGAATTGAGGAACACTTTCATGGACGACGAGGTCTAAGCAGAAGTTCTCCAAAAGCCCTTCTCGGCCATCGACATCCAATTGCGCCTACAATCTCCACTAATTCTGTACGGTTCCTAACTAACGGCTCCATTAATTTTGACTCCAGTTATAACACAGCTATGAAACAGGTAAATGAAGAAGATCGTATTCGAAGGATCGCTTCGCTCCCGGATGAAAACCCGAGTCCCAAGTTGCGATGTCACATCCGTCGAATACACGTTCGAACACTAATTCCCGACTGATTTGCTCCTCTTCGGGGAACATTCGCTTCCTGATTGTCTATTCGTTACGAATCACTGTACACTTAATACAGTCTGAACAAGAGAGTAAAAATTATGAGCTGCTTTTATCCGCGCTTAAACTTCAGCACCAGCAAGCTTATCGTGAGGAACACGATAATCCAGATGATGGTGGAGATGTAGCCGTTGTAGACATTCGACTCTGTGATGCTCCAGCCGCGGGTCAGCATAGAACGCAAGGCAGTCGTCGCCATCGTCAGTGGTAGACCTTGCGAGATGTATCGAAGGAACGTCGGCATGCCTTCTACCGGCCATATTACACCTGCAAAATGGAAAAATCAAGTAAGCTTTAAAATAAAGTTTGCCGATTAGTCGACTAATCTATATGTTCTTTTCTTCATTTTATGTTCAATTATTCTCAATTTGATTTAACTTTTATTTTGCATGCTTGTTTTCAGCAGCAAATTACTATTTTTAATTTTTTTCTAATTTCCTCAAGTCTTCTATCAACCATTTTAGATATTAAATTTACACTTTAGACAAAGAGAATCAGAGAGTCAGATCTAATAAACAGTTTATGTATAGCAATTTGATTAGCATGGCGCGTGTGGGTATTGGCCGACTTTCACTTCTGGTAGATATAGTAAAGATTTCAATTTATCTTAGATATCAATATGATTATCATATTTATCTTAGAGCGATGTGATATCAAATGTATTATCAATTCAATCTGATCGATAAAAGCAACGTTTCAATTCTCGCGCAAATTTCATGTAAACGAAATTTTTAGACACTAAGTTGTGTCCAAAATTTACTGCCAGCACTGAAAATGCTACAGTTTACGTTACATGCACTATAGATTTTACTGGCAGTCAATTTTGGAACACAGTCTATATTGTGAATAAAAACAAAATTTTTTTAAATTCCGTATAAGCCTATTACTTCTACAAACTTTGTGACGTCATACGTACCACTGAGAAGAAGAGTAGGATAGAAGCTGCCTAGAGCTAGTTGAATGGCGTTCCTTTCAAGTTCGCAAATTGCCGAAATAACGAACCCTGCGAGAAATAAGGAAATTCAAATTATAACACTTGTTTTCTAATCATCGGAATTCGTTCATTCAAAGAGTAAAAAGATAACTTATCTTTTATTTGCACTTTTGTGAGAAAAGCTACATCTTTTTCTCAGAAATTGCAAAAAATCATCATCAATGTGTTATATTATCTTTGTACA